CTGAGTTTTAAGAGTTAGAAATCACTCAAAACTAAAGTAATAATAATATTAACTACTATTACTACTTTAGACTCCTAATCTTGAAACACACTTTTCTGAAGTAAAGAAGATGAATAAGACTGAATAAGATAAAACTACCTTATTTTCCCTGCTTCAGTTGTTTAGTTTCTCACTTCTAATTCTAAAACAAAAGCTGAGAGAATAGAGTAAAAACTATAATCACAGATTGAACTTCCCCTTAAAAAATAAGCTTACCTTCGAGTAGAGAGACCTGAACCGATCCGTGGCACGATCCAATTTGCTCTGGACTTCTCTGTGAGCAGCAGAAGTGTCAGTATTATGCTGGTCAGCCTGGCCACCGCCATCTCTTTTGCTGCAAGACTTGGCTGCTTCCAGCACCCTGTTTCCAGAAATTGTGATGTACCTCAAGTCGCCTTTGTGAGAAATAACATCTTCTGAGAAGCTCTTCTGCCTCTTCAGTTTGGTCATTAAACCACTGAAGTCGTCTGCCCCCGCCTGCAGGTTTTCCAGCTCTTGCTCCGACTGCTGCAGCCAGTGCTCGAACTCTCCATAATCCGTGTCGAACTTCTCCAACTCCTCCTGCAGAGAATGTGTTAACTTCATTTTCTTCTCCGACTCGGCCAGTGCAGTTTCGTAGTGCGCTTTCAGTTCCTTCATGTTCTTCTGCAGTTTCTCTTTGTCCTCGGGAGAGAGATAGTGACCCTGCTTCTCCAGCAAGGCTTGCGCTGACTGAGTGGCCAGGAGGACGGCTTGCTGCTGAGAGACGATCTTCTCGTGTTGGGCCTATGGGGAAACAGAGACACTGTGACTTTAAAGCAGGGAAGGGGTTACTCTGGGGTTGTGGAGCTCTCCGTTGCCTCAGGACCTACAAACTTCGGTGATCTACAGACAACCTGCTTCTTGTTAACCTTTTCAAAATGCACAGTATTTGCCTTTTACTGGTAAATTTCAGAATAGAAAATGCTACATTTCAAGTACTCTAATCTTATTTGTTAAGATTTCCTATCTCCTTGAAAGTACTCCTATAATCACATAGGACACGGACTGCTATTGAGAAGCTTCGGGAAAATGTAACAGATTTGTCTTCCAATTCTCAAACAAGCACCTGCAGTCAGATCTCATTTTTCTCACAGCTTCCTCACAACACCTTAAAGAGACTGCTAATGTCTTTACCTAATGACTGAGCAAACAGGTGTAATACTTACCTATGACATGATCCTAAAAGGACGGTTCAACAGAATACAAAATTAGTAATTTTAAAGTTATAAACACTATGACAATAGTTAAGCGAGAACAATGTAGATTCTGAGAAGCCCAATGGACTTAGAGGAACACATGATAAAAAAAGAATACTGCAGCTACTAGTTCCGCTGGGCCTCAGTTTCCTGTGTGTGGAAAATGGAGACAATCACCCATACATGTCACAGGTGCCAAGCTGTTCCTATCTTTTACAGGCCGTTTGTAGACCCGACAATAGGATTTTACATCATTATGTTGAAGACAACACACCTTAACTTTCTGGTATTGCTGGTTCAGATTCTCCTCAGTGGTTGCAACCGGCCCATCCACATCAGTTTCCAACAGGTTACCGTTAACTTCATCCTCTTCTCCCATCTCCGACTTGTTGTCACCTTCTTGGAAATGAGTCCCGTTCTGTTCAATCACCTGTTTCTGTTTTATCCCCGCCCTTTCTGAGTCTTTGTCAACATGTGACAACCAGTCCAAAAGGTTTTCTATTTTGGTTTTGCTCTCTTCCAGCTGCTTCACAGCTGCAACCTGGGGGGAGAATGGTGTTGACAATGGGTATTCTGAATACGGGCCCAGGTGTTAGTTTTAAGACCTCCCCCAAAATAAATATTTAGATCATTTAAAATTAGAGTGGGCATACTAAACTACTGAAAACTGAACACACTGATAGTAAACCTTAGAGGAATAGGAAGTTACTCTGAAGTTTCCACTATTCTTAAAATCACATTCCAAAATTTTAACTTTAGCAATGAATGAGTCCTCACATCCTTCACAAGTAGAAAGTCTCAGAATCCCACTTAAACTCTGTAGAAAAGGTAAGCAAAGCCAGCTCTTCAAACTTTGTGTAGTAATTTGGTCAATGACAACTGTGGAAACCCAGAATTCCAGTCCCGGGTGCCAGTCGTTGCTTAGCACTGCCTGACCTCACTTAATGATTCAAGAGGCTATGACCCTAATCACTTTCAACAAAGCCACAGTGCACTGCATGCTTGAATAAGGACCTTTTCCGTCTCTTCCTTGATTGCTGTTGTCACAGCTTTCTCCAGCTCCTTTTTCGACTGCTCCGCCTTTAAATTGAGTTGTTCACACTTTATCTTAGCTTCCTTAAGTTTCTCTTCAATCAAAGCCTGATCTTCCCGTGACAGCTTTTCACCATTCTCTTTCAGGAAGTTCTCTGTGTTTTTCACTATTTCTGCCAATGCCTGTGCACTCCCTTGCATATCTTTCTGTAATTCCTTATAACACAAAAGGGGAAAAAACATCTTAGTAGATTGCTACCTATTTAACTTTTCCAATGTTGTAATTCTCAAAGAGGGTCTGTGCAAAGGAGAGTCTAGCACACATAGACTGAAAGAGCATACTCAGTATGTTCACTGAGTTGGTTTACTTCAATTGCAATATTTAATACTAGAGGCCCAATGCACGAAATTC